AATTGAAGCTTGATACTTGAACGTATGCTCATACTTGGTCGAACTTAAACGTTTATTGTAGGGAGGATTGATATTTGATCAAAATCTGATAACGTTATTTGAACGCCTACTGCAGCATTTCGATACTTGATGATGTTCCTTGAACGTATACTGCCGAATTTTGATACTTAATTGAGATCTGATGGCGTTAGTTAAACGTCTGCAGCATTTTGATACTTGATATTCGAAGTTTGATAACGTTATTTGAATGTATGTTGCCGGTTTTTGACACTTGATCGAACTTTGATTACATTACTTGAACGTTAATTATACTGCACGTCTCGTTCTCGATGATAACAAGTAGTACTGTGTCCGCAGTGCTTAACTTCACAACGTTTAGAGTCAAAATTTTAAAAATCCTGCGTTTTTCCCTCAATGTTCCCCCTTGGCGCCCTCTCGGACTTCATATTGTTTTTCGTTGTGCGAAGACTTCTAAACGTGCAGAATAAATTCTAAGATCTATTATTTTAACATCAAATTATAAATATTTATAAAAGATGAGAAAAGCTAAGAAAAGGAAGAATTCAAGGTTCCGTTCGAGAGAAAAAGAAAAAACTGAGGAAAAATTACAGAGAATGCAAAATCAACTAGATAAGTCCTCTCTTCCGTTATTGCGCAATTTACGCAGTCTAAAAACGCTGGGGAAAAAGCCCTATCATTACAGAGAATATTGCTCTTGATGGTAAGTTTTTATAGGTTCTAAGAGAGCAATGCTTAGTTGTCCTAAACGGACAAAAGGATAAAGAAAGCTACATATCCTAATCTCATACGGACAGTTATCCTAGTCCCATACGGACTAAGAGATAAAGCAAAGCTCCACACGAGCTGTCGGAAATCCCACACGAACATCAGGGAAAAAAGCAAGTCTAAGAATGTTACGCAATGTAACATTACAATATTAGAACTTGTTTTTTTCTTATTGTTTACAAAGTTACTTCCAGGTGAGTCTGAAAAAGAAAATCAATCGTCTCAAGTCAACGCCCAGATAATAGAGACAAAAGCAAGCAATAAGTCAAACATGGGCTTATCCAATCAAATAGAGCCAAAGAATGACTCAGATTTAAATGAAGAAATCATGAATTTGTTAGGAGAAGATCCTTCATCAGGAATGCTCCATCAGGATCTTCAATTCAAATACATCCAGAGATTAAGACTTAGAAAAAGAAATATTCTCGTGAAGGAGATCCGTATACAGAACTCCTAAAGATTAATAAGGAAATAATTCTAGTTTTAACAGAGATAGCAACTAAACGAAACGAACATTTTATTAACATGCAAAAATGTGTGGATTCTATCATTTCCCTCGAAGCAGCGCTATCCATGCTCCTAGAAAATTCAAAAGAGGGAATTGACCTTATTAGATTATCTTTGGGACTCTGGCAAATTACTGACAAATGTGTTTTTTCATCAGTCGATTTCTAGGAAAGCGTTCATTTCTCCGTTAATGGACAAGGCTGTCAAACCAATATTAGACTCAGCGAAGGCGGAAAAATGACTCTATAGAGAGAAGTTCGCTGATCATATAAAAAGAAGCATCAGTAGTAGATGCGTTATTTACTTTCTCTTGGGGACATGATAAGTTTTACGCATTCCCTCCTTTTGCATTAATATTGCCAATCTTAAAGAAAATTATTAACGACGAAACTATGGGAACGGTTGTTGTATCTTTCTGGTCAATACAACCGTGGTATCCTCTATTTCTGTCGCTCCTTACGGAACCACCATTGAAGTTTCCATCTTCTGATCTATTAATTTCTTGCAGGCGATTGTCACATCCCCTGGCTAAAAATAGTTATTCTGGGTGAGTATCATCTTCGAACGAGACGCTTCATATAATTACGATCGAACTTCACTCGCTTTCAGCGAGTTTGTTTGATCGATCAATTAACCAATATTTCTTTGTTCTCGAAAATTCCAAATCGCCTTCTAAAAACTAAAATTACATTTACACTTTCTTTTTAAGTGTTTTAATTCTCGATCCTGTCGTTTAAATTCCTTTTTTAATCGTTTAATTTTCTTCTCCAGATTATTTTTATTATCTAAATATCTATTCCTCTTTTCCATATTGATGTCGAAGAATTTTTTGCGCAGTTTAATAACTTTGTTGATGAATACAAAGAAAAGAAATGACATCATGGCCGCTGAATAGGGTCGAAGGGCCCGGGAAAGCTGGAAGATCTGAAAAGTTTCTAGTAAATTACTTCAATTTTTGTGGCATGAAAGGCGCCAAGGAGGGGGTACTACTGGTGATCTGAGGAGGAGACGCAAAATACAATTTTTTATATATTAGAACGATAAAGAACACCGCACAAAATCATCCTGTTTATGGCTCTCTGTGAAATTGACTGAAATTTTAATATGTTATAGTTCTTAATTTACTGATCAAGTTTCCTTAGGCTCAAAGCTTAAAAATAGTTAGTTTTTTTGCTACAGTTTGCCTGTGCACGTGTGTGTATTTGTGAGGGAGGGGGCTAAATAGTATGCTACTATTTAGCTCCAAAAGCACATGTTTTAAAATGTTGGAGTAGCAATAAGTAATAAATACATACTAATTTTCACCCAATTTTATTCAACACACACACACACACACACACACACACACACACACACACACACACACACACACACACAC